CGCCCTCAGCCCCCGCCCGCTCTCTCGCCCCCAGCCCCCCATCCAGGTGTACGGGCTGGAAGGGCGCTATGCCACCGCGCTGTACTCCGCCGCCACCAAGCAGAAGAAGCTGGAGCAGGTAGAGAAGGAGCTGAGCCGAGTATGGGTAAGGTGTTCTCCAGCCCGCGTTTGCCTAAGCTCGCACAGGGGTTTGGGGGTGGCGGGGCTCGCCTATTGCTGCTTGTTAGGAGGGAGGTGGGCCCGGCTCTTGCACGCTGTGGGGCTGCCCGCTTACACCTGGCCTGGCATGGCTGCTGTCTGCGCTGCGCCTCCAGTGTTAGGCCGCTTGGAAGCGATAGAGGAGGAGGAGTATCAGCTCTGAAAGAAACACACCGTAAATCCCCTTGATTGGTTTAGTGTGGGTTTGGTTGTGTAGGTTAATGGTTGGACTGGATGATCTTAAAGGTCTTTTCCAATCTAAACGATTCTGTGATTCTAAATGAGCTATACCTGCAGCTACTGCTTTGCTTCCCACCTCCTTCTGACCCCTTTATTCTTGCTCAGTGAATGACCATGTGGCCCGCTTTGGGTAGTCCAGTTAGGCCTTCTGATGCCTGGAAAACTCCTGGTCTTTATCATGGTGTTTGTGTATCCTCTTAGACTCTTTTGAAGGACCCCAAGCTATCCAGTGTTGTTATGAACCCTCATACCAAGAGCGCAGTTAAACAAAAAGCTGTGAATGATGCTTTAGCAAAAGAGAAGATGTCCCCTATTACTGTAAACCTGATGAGTGAGTAACCATTCGAACTCTGAAAAACATCTGAGGCTACTTACTTTTACTAGTAGCTAAACAAATCTGCTTATAGTAGGTGCTTTAAACCCTTTCAATACATCTACCTCTTCCAGATTTGCTTGCTGAAAACGGTCGCTTGCGTTCCACTCCAGACATTGTTTCTGCATTCGGAAAGATCATGAGCGCGTATCGAGGAGAAGTGCTGTGCACAGTCACCACTGCACAGGTGAGTTAGGAACCTCTAGGTTGAGCTTAACAGGTAGCGGTATGGAAGGCAAACTTCTTTAGCTTGATTTTGCTCTCTGTAGTTTAAGTACTTGCTGCGTGAGTAGTGAGGAAATATCTCACCTTTACCAAGATGAAAGTGCTTCTGCGAATAGTTTTTTGATATCCAACCATTATTGGTCAAAAATTAAACCTCTTCCTCCTATTTCAGCTTAAGAGATAACATCTTTCCTTCCTATGTGATAAAAGTCAGCCAGGTCTGCAGGTAGAACTGCCCCTGCTCTTATTTCTGTCATCAGGATCGTAGTTCTGATCTGATCTCTAACAGATGAGCTGTTAGCTAGAGCAAGGCAGCTACCTGCTAGGACTGAGAATGCCTGTGGTGCTTGGTGCTGTGCTTCACAGGGAACAGCTACCTAATTCACCACAGTACCTGCAGTAATCAGGACAAGGGGCTAACTCTGAAGGAAGACTTTTTCAAAAATAGCAGACAGGCAAGTCTGGCTGGTGCTCAGGAAGGTGAGAGGGAAGATAGTGTCTCCATAAGCTGTAAACATCGGGCTGGAGGCACAGTGGTTCTGGCACTTCAGAAACTTCTTCATTAATGGATCCGTGCCCAGGTCTGTTGGAACAGGAAGCTGGGCAGCTAGGTATGTAATGTAAATCTGTAGCCCTTGGGTAGGGCTACAGTGAACTGCCTGCCTGGACTAAATAAAGAGACTGATCCGCTTCTGATTAACTGGCTCCCTGTAGGCCATGAGCACAGGTTGTCAGCCTAGTTGGTAGCCTTCAGGGACATGTGGACTCACGAGCCTGTGCAAAACGTTCCACAAGTTTTCCTAAATATTTCATATGTGAAGTTACTTTGTACTGCTTTTTTGTTGTTGTTAGTTTCTTTTGGCTCTCAAACTGTTAGCTATTAAATAGAAATTTTGTAAATTGCCAGTAACGCAGAGCCACCACTCTTCGGTGAAGTCCCTTTTGTTTCTATCTTGGTGGTATCCGAGTGACTTGTAGGGATAGCAAGGACAAATTCACAGTGTCTCTCCCACAGGGATGCAGAGTTCTTCCGTGGTGATGGAGAGAGAGTTACTTAGCCAGGAGCATTGTGCAAGCCCACAGCAGGGCTGGGAGCTCGCTGCCAGTGTCCTCAGTCACTGCCCGGTGCTTTATGTGAAACTGTTCCTTCTCAAGCTGATGATCTTAATTGTTAGAAGCAGCAAAATTAATCTTCCCTTGTACTGCCTGAACACTGCTGTGAAGCAGATCTCAAGGTTTTCCATCAAGTGCTTACTTTGGCAAGTATGGATTCCTGACGCTTGCCATCGGAAGATGTCAGCATCAAACTTGTGCTGGGAATATAGGCACGAATAACACAATGTTTCATGGAATTAGGAGGGCACAAAGTGACTGCTGTTTCTGTGCTGTCCTTTGGTTATTCTTGTTCAAGAAGGCTAGTTAATCTGCCTTCCTGCTGGAAATGTCTGTCTTGAGAAGAATCTGAATAGAAAATTTGCGTTCTTATTACTTCATCTGAATATTTTCAAGTCCTTCATTTTCTTTGTCTTCTGTTCATATTTTTCAGCCCTTGGATGATGCCAGCCTTACTGAGCTAAAAAGTGCTCTGAGTGGATTCTTGGCTAAGGGAGAAATCTTAAAGCTGGAGACCAAGGTCTGGATTTTTTGATTTGTAAATAAATTTCACCAAGTTCACATTAGGCTGGGCTTCTGTCTCTCTGATCTTTAAAAAAAATTCATTTTGCTGAATCCATTTGCTATATTACATAGTTCTGTGCTTTCTTATAGATTATATAATGCTTTAATTACTAAAATCTTAACTTTGGAATACAGTGACTGCAAAGTTATCTTAAAAAGGCTCTTTTAAAAAAGTTTGCTTTTTTTTTAACTAGTGTAAAAATTGTACACTAGGCTAACAAATTTTTGCTAATAGAATTTCTGTTCAATATTTCTTCAGACTGATCCGTCGATCCTTGGTGGCATGATTGTCAATATTGGGGAGAAGTACGTGGACATGTCAACAAGGTCAAAGATCCAGAAGCTCACCAAAATCATGAGAGAGACTGTCTAGCTAGCTGTCCTCGTCATTCACAGTGAAACCTGTCAGATGGAAACAATAAAATTATTTCTTCTTGAATAGATGGTGTGAAGTATTTTGATTCAGAAACACAGCGCTGAGGGAGGAAGGTGATGAAGCTGCAGTGAGTTTCTCTTGAAAATGTAGCTCACCCTGAATGCAGGTGAGCATTGCTGTGAAGGAAATGGAGAATAATGCTCTAGGAGCTGATAAATGGGGTCACTACTGCTGAGGTTCTGTCAGCTTCCAGAGAAGACTTTCACTCGGGATGTTGTCAGGACGGCGGTGCAGCAGTCCTGCTGCTGCACGTGCTGTTTCTGTGTGTGGACAGTGTGAACGCTGGAAGCGCGACTGGTAGATTCTTTCATAAGTGCGATAGTGGCTGGTAGAACAGTTGTGTCATCAGTGCCTTGTTGCCAGCAAACGCCGTGTCAGGTTACTTCCACATCTGTATCGTTGGAGAGGGTTTTGTGTATGCCTTAAACTAAAATTGCCCTCTACAGGCTTACTAGTGAGAGGCTAAGGTGTTTGTAACTTAAAACTGTGTACAAAAACGTTTTGAACAGGACGGGGGTTCACAAGTAACGAGCACTATGGCAGCTGTGTTGTGACCGGCTCTGTGTGCTTCCCGGTTAGCGTCTGGGCACAGATCTATAACTGCCCTGTTTCTGTCTTGAAGTACTGTGCCTCTGTTTTCCATTTAGATAATCTTCGACAGGCTTGTGAGGGAATGTAAAATGCCTGTTTCTCCCCGTTGGTTCCTGGTCAAGAACTGATGTTTGACTTAATTTTGGACAGATTTTGGATGGATGCCATTACTGCAGGGGTGGGGTGTTGAACTGGTAGCGCTAGCTCATTTCAGTTGTGTTTATTATTGAAACGTGTTAACTAGCCATGTTGGGTTTTTTAATAGAACACTTTTAATAACAGCAGTAGTCCCTGCAGGGGAGAGACCGTTTAGCCCCGCGCTTTCTCTGGTGCCTCACGCTGGAAGTAGGTTTCCCTCGCAGGGCCAGCCCAGGGCTGCTGGCCGCAGATCCTGCCCGGAGAGTGCGTAGGAGAAGCGAAGGCTGTGCTCCGCTTCCCGCCAGGGGTAGGGGAGTGGCGGATGGAATTGTCCCAGGAACCCTGGAGGCAGAATAGATGCTCGCTAGTTCTGCAGGTGGTGGGAGCAGCAGGGTGGGTGTGTGCTGGGGAAGGCGGG